GAAGAGACTTGAAGCAACAGAACCAAAGAAAAGAGTACTGAACTGTTATGTAATATCAGTCCTCCTATATGGCAGTGAATGCTGGACAATCTCCTCACAGATGAAGAAGAGACTTGAAGCAAGAGAAACAAAGAAAAGAGTACTGAACTGTTATGTAATATCAGTCCTATATGGCAGTGGATGCTGGACAATCTCCTCACAGATGAAGAAAAGACTCGAAGTAAGAGAAATAAAGAAAAGAGTGCTGAACTGTTATGTAATATCAGTCCTCCTATATGGCAGTGAATGCTGGACAATCTCCTCACAGATGAAGAAGAGACTTGAAGCAACAGAACCAAAGAAAAGAGTACTGAACTGTTATGTAATATCAGTCCTCCTGTATGGCAGTGAATGCTGGACAATCTCCTCACAGATGAAGAAGAGACTTGAAGCAAGAGAAACAAAGAAAAGAGTACTGAACTGTTATGTAATATCAGTCCTATATGGCAGTGGATGCTGGACAATCTCCTCACAGATGAAGAAAAGACTCGAAGTAAGAGAAATAAAGAAAAGAGTCCTGAACTGTTATGTAATATCAGTCCTCCTATATGGCAGTGAATGCTGGACAATCTCTTCACAGATGAAGAAGAGACTTGAAGCAATAGAAATAAAGAAAAGTGTACTGAACTGTTATGTAATATCAGTCCTTCTATATGGCACTGAATGCTGGACAATCTCACAGATGAAGAAGAGACTTGAAGCAAGAGAAACAAAGAAAAGAGTCCTGAACTCTTATGTAATATCAGTCCTATATGTCAGTAGATGCTGGACAATCTCCTCACAGTTGAAGGTAAAACTTGAAGCAAGAGAAATAAAGAAAAGAGTACTGAACTGTTATGTAATATCAGTCCTCCTATATGGCAGTGAATGCTGGACAATCTCTTCACAGATGAAGAAGAGACTTGAAGCAACAGAAACAAAGAAAAGTTTATTGAGCTGTTATGTTATATCGGTCCCCATATATGGCTGTGGATTCTGGACAATCTCTTGCCAGATGAAAAAGAGAGTTGAAGCAACTGAAATGCGGTTCTACAGAAAGATGCTGAGAATAACAAGTGTGCAACCACAAACTTTTAGAGAAAACGGAAACAAAAAGGACACATCTCCTTAGAATCAGATGAAGATAATGGAAATTTCTGGGGAAAATAATGAGGAAGGAAGGCTTAGCAAATTTGATACTCACAGAACATACTGAAGGCACGTGGGATAGAGGAAATAAGCGCATAACGTATATAATAAGTTTATTTAAATGATTGGAAAACAGGGATAAGGAGAGAGAGCAAAAAGACAAAGAGTGCTAGGAAGTCCAAAGGCCAGGAACCCTGATTATCCACCTCTAGAGGAGTCACGGCACATAATAGATGACCCGAGAGATTAGGGATTAGACTTGTGAGTGATTAGGTGGGCTTTGATTCTTTGTGAACTTGCACCGGGATTAAACTGCCTGCAGGAAATACACACAGGGAAAAAGACATAAGACAAGGATGTGTCTTCTCACCAGACTTCATCATCAGGTGGAGAATTCTTCTCGGATTCTCCTGGTTACACATGCGCACAAATGAGGGATGCTGGGAATTTTATTTTTTTTTTATCTAGTCGATTTCATTTAGATTTTTTTTTCTAGATTAAAAAAAAAAAATTAAAATTCCCAGCATCCCTTGTTCGTGCGCATGTGTAGCTGCACCAACATAGCAAATTTAGTCTGATGAAATCCTAAATACCGAAACACTTTGTCATATATATTTTCCCAATATTTTTATTGATATATGAAATATATATTATTATCTATATATATATATATATATATATATATATATATATAAAGACATTTTTATGGTTATACATTCTTTTTATAGATAGAAATATTTAAGTAAATGCTCTGTTTATAATAAACAGTATTAAACAACATTTACCGGCCTGAATGTCCGAGAAATTTTCATAGAACATATTCGTCCTCCGACAGGAATCGAACCTGTAATCCTATACGGAACCGTCACAAACCTGACGTGCCTTTAACCGATTGGGCCACAGAGGATCGTTCGGTTAGCAAGGTCGATTTTACTGTCATTAAACTTCAATCTTCTATGATTCTCTCACGTACATTCATATCTGCTCAAAGCGTATCCAAATGTAAACAAATGACGTCACACATGAAATGGAAAAAGTCCGACAATTATTTTAAGACATTTTTATGTTTATACATTCTTTTTATAGATGCAAATATTTAAGTAAATGCTCTGTTTATAATAAACAGTATTAAAAGAAAACATTTACCAGCCTGAATGTCCGAGAAATTTTCATAGAAAATATGCGTCCTAGGACAGGAATCGAACCTGTAATCCTATACGAACCGTATAGAACGTAGGAATATATATATATATATATATATATATATATATATATATATATATATATATATATATATATATATATATATATATATATATATATATATATGTGT